CTTAGCTGTAGAGGGCAGTGTCACTGGCCCTCATATGTGGGATCCGAACCGGGGCCCTCTGGCATCCCAAGCCAGCTCTTAACCAACGCGCCGCTCGGCCGGCCCCTAGAATCTGTTTTTAAGCACCATTTTATCACTAGTTCTTGGCACTAGATAAATGTTTGATAAGTAAATGAACCTACGCCATATGTTTTAACTTAGCTTTGATTTATTGAGACATTGCCTTAGATCTGTGGCAGGACCCAAACTTATCAACACTTTATTAAACTTTATTATGTTACTAGGTAAAAATAACTGTACTTTGCATAGAGCTATACAAATACATCTCAGTCTTTACTAAAATAACCTGGAAAAACTGAATAGGAGTCTCAGCTTAAAACCATAAATGGGTTTTGGGGGTAGGGTGTTGGTATGGAGGATGGCTGTAGGGAGGCCCTGGACACATGCACTGTGGTTTAGTTAGGAGTTAGAGGGAAAGGGTAAGAAAACAAACCTGTTCCAAGTTAGTCTCTCACAGGGCATTCTTTGTCTGGTCGTGGCTTCCATTATGATGGTAGTATACTGGTTAAGAGGGTGGACTTTGGAGTCAGTAAACCAGAATTTGAGTTCTGATCTTTCCACTTATTAGCTGAATGATTTGGGGCAAATCATTTAACATCTTAAGGCCTCTTTTGCTCTTATCTAAAATGGTGATAATACCAATCTCAAGAAGCAGTTTAGTATTTCCTAAAGCCTTAACAGGTTTGTGTGACAAATGAGTTGAAAAATAGAAACCATTATTTATATTTCATTTCAGACTTTTTGGTCTAATTCACTGACTTTTTTTTCTATTTGCCTTTTAAATATGGGTGTTTCTAAGGAACCTTCCCCACCCTCCACAGTATATATGTATGAAAACATTTACTTCCATGGCTTCAACTAGGTAATATACTATCTTCTGTCTTCTGTGTTGTAGATCTGAATTCCAGCTACTCTTTGGACAGCTCCACAAGCTAAATAGCAAACTGTGTATCCAACATTGAACATATGATTATCCTCCATTTTGTTTGTCTTCTGTCTAGAGTCTCTGCCTTGAGATACCTAAATTAGAACTGTCAGAAACCCCTTTGACTTTTTTTTTTTTAAGATTTTATTAGGGAATTGGGGGAGGGGAACAGACAAGTTGCTGTCCTTTTTGTTCTTCAGTCTAGTTGTGGAGGACGTCGNGGCTTGGAAGAAAGTTAGGTGATACTTAAAAAATAGTTGCAATTTGAGCTGAAGTGCAAGTCATCCAATAACGATTTATTCTTATTCTTGGCTACCGTTTCTTTTTAAGGTATGTAAAATTTCACTGATGGTTTTGCGCCTATTTTTATAGTTGCATGTAGTCTTTATTTTTCCTTCTAGTATTTTAAGTTTATTTAGAAAGAGCACCAAGAAACTGACATGGTTGTACACTTACACAATAGTTTTTAAATATATGTGAATAGTATAAACTCTGTAACATTGTATACTACAACTCGCTACTTAGAATACCTTTAAAATTGTAGCACCATATAGTTCTAATCTTGTTTTGTTATTCATAGTCTGCAGTGCATAATTTCTCTACTGAAACGTATGTCATAGTTTGACAATCATTGCTGACACGTAATTTTCTCTTTTTTTATTACAATGCTTCCCCAGCAAGGACAAGTTTGGAAGGTTTGCAAAGCTTTTCACCTTCCCTCTGCCCGCTTGCCCGCTTTCAGATCAGTTTCATGTTTCATAACTTCTCTTTCTGCAATCCACAACATAGCCATAGTAAATAATGAAAAAATATTAAATTGCAATATTGTATTTCCTCATACATAGTAGAGAGATAAAAATTTTCAAAGGATACAATTTGCTTTTAAATGCAATAAAAAGAAGTTAAATAGGAATGTTACAATTTTAGTAATTCCCTAAGAAATAACATCTTGCTAGCAAGCAGTTAATTAAATGTCACATAATGAAACAGTGAGTAGTATTGAACTGTATTGCTAATAGTTCAGATAAAAAGTTCTTCCTAATAATAATACCTTACATTTATGTAATGCTTTACAGTTTACTACAGAGAATGCTGTACTGCTGATGTGGTCAAAATGTAAACATTTCCATTCGTTCTGTGCTAATGAGATATAGAACAGATGTAGATTCATTGTTTGAAGTGCTGCTGGTGTGATGGAAAACACTGTTGTAACTCAGATGTTCAAGAGGAACAGGCAACACACTTTATTTAGTACTATAAAGACAGTTTTAGCAGCTTCCGGTTCTTTTGAACTCTTGTATTAAAATGCTTAAAGTGAAGGAGGAAAACATTTTGGAAAAGACATTTAAACATAAGCTTTTATTTTATAACACTTAGAAAGAAGCATTTCCAGTACTTTACTGAATATATAATTTTGTAATATTAGCTTCAGATGTATACAATCCTACCTCAAACCAAGAATTTTTTTTTCTTTTTCTTTTTTTTTTTTCTTTAGGTTTGAGCTTTTTCCTTCACTGCTGTTCTGCGCTAACTGCTTTGAAACTTTCCATGCATTTTTTTCAGTAGAAGAACATCTCTGTACTGTCTCCCATTGCATATTTCAGCTGTGACAATCCCTGCACTTTGCCTATTCATTTTATCACCTGCTCACCAAAAACAATAAATACCTCTCTAAATTCTGATTACAGATTTGCTATTATTTCTTGGTTTTAGAAGAAGGATGCATTTCACTTTTTTTTATTACTGTTGTTTTATAGGCATGTGGAGACCCCAAGGCAAAACCATCCTACCTTATTGACAAAAACTTGGAATCTGCTGTGAAATTCATAGTCAGAAAGTTCCCTGCTGTAGAAACCCGCAACAACAATGTAAGTCATCTAAATTTTTGTATTACTTGATTTTAGTCATCTGTTGGGAAAGTAATGGTCATTATAATGCTTGAAGTAGCTCTTATTTATCTAATTCTTTTTCTTTTATATACAAATTACATATATTAAGGGCTTTCAGAGACAATGTTCTTAACCTTTGACGCTGGAAAAAATGACTGAGGTACATTGCCATTTTATTATACACAACATAAGATCTTAACTTCTTACACACTTCTTCCCTTTCAAGGTGCAACAGAGAGTAAGGTAATATGTAAATATTCCAAATGTTTGTATGACCAGTTAGGGAGTTTTTTTCATATAGTCATAAACTTAATTAACTATTATGAAGCTAGGGTCTTTATAGAGCTTGTATTAGTTTTAGTAATTAGGTTTAGTTTTAAAATGTATTTGTTTCTTTAGTGTTTTTATAATCGTGAAAAACATTTTTGAAAATTAAATAATGAAGGCGATGGTTTTAAGATCTTTATTATCCCATATTTTCTCAGATGGGAACGTTTTTCTTAGTATGTTGAAATAT